ATGAGGGTGTCACTGGCTAGGCCAGCATTTATTGCCCATCCCTAATTACCCAGAGGGCTATTAAGAGTCATCAATATTGCTATAGGTCTAGAGTCACTTTTAGGCCAGACCAGGTAAGAACAGCAGTTTCCTTCCCTAAAGGGCATTAGTGAACTAGATAGATTTTTCTGACAATTGACAACCAACAATAGATTCATGGTCATTCTTTGACTCCTAAATCCAGAGTTTTTTAAAACTGAATTTAAAAAATTCTACCATCTACCATGGTGGGATTTGAACCCAGGACCCACAAACATTACCGGAGTCTCTGGATTAATACGCCACTGATAATACCACTAGTGCATAAAAAAAAGGTGTGGAAACAGAAACAGAGTTAACAGTTTGTTCTGATGACCTTTCATCAGATCTAGAAAATGTTAGAAATTTTAACAGGTTTTAAATAAACTGCCAGGAAAAAGAATACAGGGGAAAGGTCTGCAAAGGAACAAGTAATATTAAGTGATAGAAGTGAGGATAGTGCAAGACCAAAGGAGTTGATAATAGAACAAGTGTGATATAATGGATAGGTTTGAATGAATAATGGTTGATGACAAGTGGCAGATTGGCAGTGGTTGAGGAAGAGGATGGAAAATTTTGACAAAGATGGGGAAGCAAGGACCTTAGCCCAGGAACCAATCCACCAGTGGCTGTAGTGACAATACCTGCACAGTTCTTGCTGAAGAGAGTGGAGACAGTGGCTGGTTAGGATGGTGGAGACGGGGAGGCAATGGCCTAGTGGTAGTATCGCTGGACTGTTAATCCAGACATGCAGATAACATTCTGGGAACTTGGTTTGAATCTGTCACGGCAGATGGTGGAATTTGAATTCAATAAATATCTGGAATGAAGAATCTAATGATGACCATAAATCCATTGTCGATTGTCAGGAAAAACCCATCTGGTTCACTAATGTCCTTTAGGGAAAGAAACTGCCATCCTTACCTGGTCTGGCCTACATGTGATTCCAGGCCCACAGCAATGTGGTTGACTATGAACTGCCCTCTGGGCAATTAGGGGTGGGTAATAAATGCTGCCTAGCAAGAGATGTCCTCATCCTGTGAATGAATAAAGAAAAAAATAACTGATCAAGTAGACTTGAATCAGAGATAGTAGGAACTGCAGATGCTGGCGAATCCGAGACAACAAGGTGCAGGGCTGGACGAACACAGCAGGCCAAGCAGCATCACAGGAGCAGAGAGGCTGACGTTTCGGGCCTAGACCCTTCTGTCTCTTCACAGAAGGTGTTGAGCTTCTTTGGAACTGCACTCAACCAGGCAAGTGGGGTGTATTCCACCACAAGTGCTGACTTGTTCCTAAAAGCTGACCCAGGCATTGTGGGGAGAGAGAGAGGGGAGGTGAGTTATGTACTGTCGAATTCCCAGTCTCTGCCTCTTACATACATACATATTTATGTGCTGAACCAAATAATTTTTCCAGTCAATGCCCCGAGAATGTTGAAAGTGGGGAATTTGGTTGTGGTAATGCCATCGAATGTTAGAGGGCGATAGTTAGCTTCTCCCTTGTTGGAGATAGTCACTGGTGCGGTGCAGATCTGAGGTGACCAGCTATTTCACGTTCAAAGACAGCACAATGTTTGGAGCAAGTGTGCCATCTCACTGCTTCTGTTCTCTTCAGCAACATTTACCTCTCACTGCTTCTTTTCCCAGAAGGAAAGAAACAATAAAACTTGCGAACGACGCGTCCCTCAAAATGCAGTTCCAGAATCAACTATACGTTCATTTCCAAGTTTTACTGTTTTTCTTTGACTGGTAGCCGAGACTTCAATTGGGGCAGTCACAGAGTTTTGAGAGAACAATTCAAAATAGCCTCAGTTATACCCAGATTCATTCAAGCATGATTTTGCTACGTGAAGTGAAAGTATTTAACAGATGTTTCATTTGTTCTTAAAGGAAAGCGTACAGAGTTCTGTACTGAAGGACCGACGAGATACTGTAGAAACCACACCCCCACAGAGTGGAGAATGAGAATAGTGGCTGTTAGTGGAACCTGTCACATGATGGGAATCATATGATGGATTCGGTGTGGCGGTAGGTCGAATTTTTACTTGTGTCATCAAAGTGCGGACAAAAACAGGCAAAGCTGATACAAACACAGTGAAACAGGAAGAGTGTTATTCTCTCGTTGAAGTACCCAGTGACCAAACGAGAGCACAGGACGGCAACATGAGATACTCGGAGCTAACATACTCGCTCCTTGTTGTGGTGTCGTCCCTCGGTAAGAAATATCGATTGTATATGTGGCTTTCACTTAGTGTACTAGCTGTTCGTTTCTCATTGGCATATGGTTTCCCATCTAAACGCTTAAAATATTTAAATTAATAATCATAGAAAAATGACTGCATTTCTTTCCCATCTCTCTCTCGCTCCTTCTATATCCAGTTTTTTTTTTAAGAAAAGTTTCTACAAAGGCGAGGAACTTATAATCAAAGTAGACGATGCTCAGTAGCTCCCGGGTTTGACCTGTCCCATTGTTTTAATGACAAATGTGAGGGGGACTGCGGTCTGTACCGGAGCGTGTTCTGGTACAAAACTGACTGCAGACGTCTGGTAGGTCGCGGAAAGCTGTTCGATGAACAGTCTCCAAACTGATAAAAGATACCGAAATGGTCGTTGTGTTTTATGGTTCTGTGGAGCAATGGACACGGAAAGGAGCTGGCCGCAGCTAACCACTGCGTGGAGATATGAAAGAGAGCGGATGGTCAGCCAGTAAATGAGAAAAGAAAGGTTTTATTGTTGAATGTAATCGAATCAACAATGAAAGGATGAATTTATACATCAAGTGCTTGTTTTAAACCGGGAATTATCTGGATCAGTCGGAATGAAAGTCTAGTTGTCTGAAGGGTTTCTCTCACACCTAGTCCCTCTGGTTTAAATGCAGACTTCTGTTGTCTATATAGTACATAGTTTTAGATTCTTTCTGTACACCAGATATAAAAGGGTTTGTGAACTCTGTCGAACTAATTCACGTAGAGCAGTGTCAAATTAAAAACCCCTTTCCGTTTTCTTATACTCAAGACTTCCTAAAGGGTTATAAAATTGGGTTTTAATACCAAGAAAGTTTAATTTAAAACTTGGAGAACACGTTTTATGGTGGTTCTTCTGAGATGCCGCCTTAAAGTAAATTTTGTTTTTATTAAAATAAATTATACTTTAATACTGTCTGGCACTGATCAGAGAGAGCATAGGTCTGCAGTGAGGATTATTAAATGTTCGTGAACAGTTTGAAACAATGAACTGTGCAGAAATTGACTGTTCATGTTCAATACTGTGCCCTTTGAATGAGTATGTATGTGCTGTGATTAAGAGGTATTTGGAGAAAGGTTAGGCAACATGTATAATTGTGATTTAGGAAGGTTTTGTGTTTCTACTTGGAGCTCTGGCCCAGAGTTAAAAATCTCACCACCCTCAGGGGTGTCATAACAACATGTCTGAACAGATTGGTGATTCAAAAATTTTCTTTACAACTCTGACGCCAGCATCTGCAATTCTTGCTATCTGCAGCTGCATAGGCCTAGTTTGTACTGGTGTTTCACTGGATGTTGTGAATAAACTGATGTGGAACACACATGGTTCCTGCTTCCTTTTGCCAAATCACTACTTTTTTAAAAACTTGCTGTACTGCATTAGTGTTTAAATTCTACATTAGCATTGTCCCATCCATATCCACCTCTTGCCTCCTTCCTCATGTATGTAGCAAACTTCCCTTCAAACATATCTACGCTATTTGTTACAACCACTTCAAGTGGGTTTTACATTCTCACCACTCTGTGTGCTGTCAGTGCCTACATATGGAAACATTTTCTCTTGTATTTGCCCTATTTTTAAAGATTTCTGACAAATTTACCCTTTGTTTTAGCATGCAGTGGATGGAGTTGATAGTCATAAGCCAACAAGAGTTTGAGGCTTGGCAAAAACAAATTGTTAGGAAAACTCTGCAGGCCTGGCAGCATCTGTGGAGAGAAAGCAGAATTAATGTTTCAGGTCCAGTAACCCTCCTTCAGAACTTTGTATGAAGTAAAAATCAAAATCTGAGTCACTTAAGAATTCAGTTAAAATGGTCATCAGTAAAGTGGCAGTCATGGCTTAGTGTCGGATTTTCCCATCTGATTTTGAAAATTTGACTTTAACTCCAAATACTTATGCACATAATCTCAGAAATGCAATCTTTTAAATGAGTTGGGACTTGCCTCTGTTCTGAACACTGGACCCGAAATGTTAACTCTGCTTTCTCTCCACAAATGCTGTCAGACCTCGAGTTTTTCCAGTGACTTCTGTTTTCGTTTCTGATTTCCAGCATTTGCAGTTCTTTGGTTTGTGTGTCTTTGTTACATTTTGAGACCCGCCGAGTTGTTTATGAGCAGTTCGTATTTATGTTGCTTCGTGATATAATATCAAGGTTTTTGTAAACAAAAGTTACATAAAGGCGGGGCTGTTGTCTCTATGCCAGAGCTTGGAGCACATAGATGGCCATCTTTCTCAAGGGCAACGAGGGAGGGGCAGTAAATTCTTGCCCAGCCAGCATTGCCCTTATTCCGTGAGAGCTTTTATAAAAAAAAACTTTGGCACAAGTGGAAGGCATGAGTTTCTCTGGTAGAGTTTAAGACTGGAGATTGTCAGCAGATCAGAAATGGATAAGCACCACTATCTTGGTGCCTTGGGGTAGGGACATGATAAAAGTCAGGAGATAGGCTTTGCAAGGGTTTGGAAACAAAGATGGGAATTTTTTTAAAAAAAAAAGTACTGCTTAACCAGGAGCAAGTGTAGGTCATGAAAACGGGTTTAAGGTTGTTACACCCAATGCCTTTGGGTTTAAAAAAGTAACCTACAGATTAAATTTTGAGCAATATCAAAGTCTGCTAACGACAATTGCTTCCTCAGTTGCAAAACCATCAAAAATAATCATTTGAAGCCCTAATTTTGAATCATTGACAGCAACATCACTTTTTAATGCAAGTCCTGAACACTGCTTTTTCAAAAAAAGCCTGCAAGTCCCTTAAGAATGCAAATAAAATGGTCATCAACAAAGTCTAGAATTTTCCCTTCTTTGAGCCTGAAAATTTGACCTTAACTTCGGTTACTTGGGTGCATAACCTCAGAACTGCTATCTTTTAGATGGGTTAAGAGCTGTCTTCTCATTCAAGTGGAAGTAAATTTAAAAACTGTACCACGGAATTTTAAAAAAAGTACCTTTCCTATACTCACTGGACAGAAAGCACAGTGTGTGTCAATGTCACTGCTCAGTTCACCCACTCACTGAAAAGCTTCCAAAAACTTTGTTCTGAATTTAAGTTGCTCAATTGAATAGATGGTGACAGAATTTGCCCAAAGCCACCTGATTCATATCAGGTCCCACTGTAGTCATTGAGATTTGACTGCAGTTTTATTTCCTGGTCTAAGTAAGGAAGCTGATGGAAGTTCCCTGCTGGGTAAAGATATTGGGAAAGATTTGCCAATCTAGGAGAACATGGATGATTATTTGGGGCTCTTGAGATAGCTCAGATCTTCCACACAAGTTTTTTTTTTTTTTCCCCCCATTATGTCTCATTGATTTCTTCTGATCTGATTCAACTCCTATTGATATCCATGAGCATAAAACAAATGGTTAAAACAAGTTCGGTCATTTATCTCTGCTGTTGGTACCTTGCTGGGTGAAGATTGGGTGTTGCTAAATTACAACAGTAACTTCAGAAGTATTTTAATTAGCTGTAAAGTTTTTATGGGCTTGTGAAGTTGTGCAAGCCGCTGTTTAAATGCATGCACTTTCGTTTCCTTACTTTTTTTTTCTCCCTGACTTTTTTTTTCTCTTTGGAAATACATTATTATTGTTAAAGGTTTTGTGATCTAGCTACTCACGGTCTTTGTAAGAAATGTTTTTCTGGTGGTTGTAAACACCTTTGTTTGATTGCAGCAGGAAATGCAGTTGATTGTCATAAAGGTAGTTGCAAGCTGCACTTTCCGAATATTAGGCTGGATTTCCTTACTGTAGGTTGATGTAATGCTATTAGCATATTCCAGTAATACTTGTCAAATTAACACTTCCAACATACTGCTTTCCAGTGATATGAGAAAAGTGTTTTTGTGTACCCAGTTAATGTGGCAGCCTGGAGAGAACTAATCTAACTTATCGCAGCTGCACTGGCTCTCTGAAACAGGGCCTGAGCAGAGATGCAAATTACCAATTTATGAAACTAAATATCTGATTGCTCAACATCACAAAGTTAGGAGGACAGCAATGTGTTGCAGAAGCAAAGCTTCTCCAGTTATAGTGAAGAAGGTGCTATGTATGCTTGCCTTTATTGGTCAGTGCACTGGGTATGAGTTGGGAGGTCATGTGGTTGTACAGGATATGCGTTGGGTCACTTTTGGAATACTGTGTTCAGTTCTGGTCTCCCTGCTATAGGAGGAATGTTGTGAAATTCGGGTTCAGAAAAGATTTATGAGGATGTTGCCAGGGTTGGAGAGTTTGAGCTACAGGGAGAGCCTGAATAGGCTGGGGCTATTTTTCCTAGAGCATCGGAGGCTGAGGGGTGACCTTTTATAGGAGTTTATAAAATCTGAGGGGCATGGATAGGGTGAATAGCCAAAGTGTTTTACCCAGGGTAGGTGAGTCCAAAACTAGACGGCATAGGTTTAAGGTGAGAGGGGAAAGATTTGAAAGGGACCTGAGGGGCAACCTTTTCATGCAGAGGATGGTGTGTGTATGGAAGTAGCTGCCAGAGGACGTGGTGGAGGCTGGTACAATTACATTTAAAAGACATCTGGATGGTTATATGAATAGGAAGGGTTTAGAGGGATATGTGCCAAATGCTGGCAAATGGGACTAGATTAATTTAGGACAACTGGTTAGAATGGACGAGTTGGACCAAACAGTCAGTTCCTGCACTGTACTGCATACTACCCTGTGATTCAAACTGAGTTTTCCCATGAGGAGTCCTTTTAAGGAGAAGCATTAGGTACCCTGTTTGTATTTCGGTAGAGAAGAAATTAACAGAAAGAGGCCATTCAGATTGGTCACTTAACAAATAACTGCACAGCCTAATCCCACCCTTGGTATCGTGCAGAGTGTTGTAGATCATGACACTTCAGTGAAGATCCAACTAATTTTTTTTTAAGAAAAAGAAGTTTCTGTCCCCTGCACACTGTCATTTTGAATCTAGAACCATGTGCAAATTGCTTCTGTGCTGCTGTGCTTGCATCGTTCTGGCTTCAGTTGTG